GGACATCACTGACTACGATGGCATTCTCCCTCTCCAGATGGTCGGGCTCCTCCACAACCGGTGCTGGACTTTCGCTACCGTCATTCACCTTATAATTCTGCCGAACCTGTTCACACACCAAGACCATAATAGCAACATCTACACATAAGCTCAGAGATCCAACCTGATCACGGGCTCTCATACCAAAATACAATAAATCCCTTCAAGGAAAAAAGTCACACAATAAATCCGAACATAAACTCGCACTTTGACAAGTGCTGGAGGGTGAAGCATTTCAGATCCGTAATTCACCACAAAATACACATATATATTACTCCTCCACAGAAGCCCCCAATTATGCTTCTGTAAACACTCTTACCGTCTCCCACAACCTCCACTCTCTTCACTCCCACACTGTTTCCATGTAACAACCATAAAAAAAATAAAAAAATAAAAATAAAAATAGAAATAAAACTCCCTAATGTGCATTCGCAATTTCATGCTTCCAAGAATACCTCACCTTTACTAACTTCCCTGCTAGAGCTAGCTCTTTCAGTTTCGTTGTTAACAGCCTCCGAAAGTTTGAAGGTACTGCATGCCGCTCCTGGATCCTTCCAACACTTCATAAATCAGCGTTTCGTCACATCTCTAAATGTCAACAAACTCACATCCTAACACAATCAAACTCCTAATCAAGTAACACTTGCTCCCCTCACTCAACAATCACCACCACCTCATTACCCCCAACTTCCTCTCCATCGCCTCTACCACCATCAAACTTACACTCCAACTTGTCACCGGTTTCAATTCAGCCAATACTTCTAAAACCCTCTCCCCATCCTGTCGTTGGTAACGACCCTTCACCCCGTGTCACATTTTCCCTTCCATCAGGTTCAAAACATCCCGGGGACCAGAACACCCACAAAAAAGGCAACATCCCCCACAATTTCAATACGTTGGACGAGGAGCCCCATACCAAAACAAAGAGGCATTTCATTTTGCCCTCATCCCCACATATCATGTCACCATCAACCACAACCTCACTCACCTCCACATTTCTCGCTCATCACATCTCCTCTCACAGTATGCCACGAAACACTCAATACACTACCCTCTCTCCTACAAATTTCAGCGTCGACCAAGGCTTCACCCACGTGTAAAAGTTCATCCACTTTGCTTGCAAACATACTATTCCGACAACACATAACAACACCCTTCAAAGACTTGTATGCTTAACGCACCTCGTCGACTCCCGCTACACGAGCCAACTCACACATGTTGAGGATACAACACATCCTCGAGACCAAAAAAAACACATAAAAAAAGAGCGTACACACAACACTAACATGCAGTCCACGACCAATACTCCCACATTACCTCGATGTAGCTTGTAATGGAGGCGTTGCTAGATCCATATGGTTCTTTCAGCCCTATCACTGCTTCAAAGACCATATCGTCATATCTGCCAAGGACGACCATATGTTTTACAAACGTCACTGATATGGCATATTCTACGTCTTTCGACCTGTCATATGTAACAGACATAACTGCATCGGACCAAAGACATTGATAACCCAAATATTACCTGGAACCAAGTGACTTGCGATCCCCAGATGTATCCGCGCTCTCCCTTTTCAGAGCTTGTGCATCATCTATTGGAGGTAAAACAGCCAAAGGAAGCACCGATACTGCATCCTCCATCAAGGTCATCATCCCTGGCCCACCAGTGATGGCCAAGGGCTTCCTTGCTGAACCAAGCCCATTGGCACTTACACTCATGTTCCGCCATTTATCCTGTCATGAGGCAACCATCAGATGATTATCAACAACCCCTCTAACCCAAGACTTTCCGTACACCCAGTATTGCGAGTATAGTGAGAGGGCTTGTAACTTGGTGCATTCCCAAAGTGGCCTCATTGTGTATGAAGGTATTCACCACTCGTGAGATTGTTAAGGCGCCTCCTCGTTCGATCAAACACGTTGTCGTACCAAAAACGCCCCATAAATTATGAACGCATATACGCAAATTTCAATAACCGTCGTTATCTCGTGTGCCAGAATGTTTGATGTGCACAAACTGATGTTTAATTCAATTTTTGTGTCATGCATATCTTGTGCAGTATTTAGTGCAGCACTGCAACTTCGTTTACATCCAAAAATGGAATAAATCAAGGTAAAACGATATATGGCCCCATACCTCTAAGGTAAAAAATATATGACAAGGTTGTAGACGAACACGGAGAGAACAGGAGAAATTAATGCTCATAAATTAAGAAGTTTTTGTTTTCTTGAACGCCTTTGTCACTCAAGAGACAGAACAGGAAAGGAATATAGAAGGGGCACAGAGTCCATATAAAAACCTCGGAAAGCCTCAGTTCCTCTTATAAAACATTATTGTAAAGAACCTACAATGACCGACATTTTAGTACTATATAAATGTGGTGCTGAGAAGCGACAAACATACAACCAACGATTCCACGTCCAATCGTAGTAACGACCAGGTATTGCCACCCTCAGAGTAGATACTGTCCACAACCACTGCAACCAAGCGAGGAAGAAAGATCCCAAACCACCCTGAAACTATACCGGTCAAACAATTGCGATATATTGAGATGCAGTAGCAAATAAGTACAACGGGGTAAGTAACAATTCGTTCGTTACGAACCTTGCCTACACACCACAACCAACCGCCCCCAACAAAATTGGCCGGGAGAAAGGGACACCTGACTCGAATGCAAAGGCAATCCAAGGCAACCGACTAAGCGCGAAAAAATTGGCAAAAGGTAAAAGAGCACGCCGAGCACCAACTCGAAAGAAATTGCGTTCACCAAGGTACACGCTCAATGTGATGATATGATTGCAGACAGAGTTGCTACGAAGACAATAACACAGAGACACGACGACAGAAAAGGGGCAGAGGAGGAAAAGAAAAACAGAAGAAAGGGCGGGGCACCTTAAGGTCTACATTGGAACGAGAAGTGAGACACGGGCCGAACTTAGAATCCTTCTGAATCGCCCGCCATTTGCCAGGCCCATATTTCTCGACACCAGCGCGGAGAGCAGCCTCTTCCTCTGCAGTCCACTTCTGTTTGGGGGCTCCCATGACTAGGCAGGCAGTGACAGTGAAATCCTGGTGGGGAGAAGTTTAACTATCAATCATGGGGGATGGCTGGATGGGTTCGAGCACGAACACGGGCAGCAGCAGGAGAGCGGAAACCCTAAAAGGGAGAAGAAAACAAACAATGGCGGGGTGAGAGCACGCACGCAAGCATAGCAGAAACAACAAGGCGGGGAGCGTATTGGTATACACGACGATGATGATGCTTCACAATTACTAAGTGTTAGATTCGACAATTACTAAAACCACGCAGAGTCTTCTTCTGCCCCAGTGCATGCTGCTGCTTGCAAGCGCTCTCTCCCCCTGGCTCCATAGCTTTCCCTACTCTACACCCCCCCGCTTGCCCTGTGCTTTGCTTTGCTTGTTTTGCGTTGCTCTCAACTACTTTCCCTCCCTACTACACTCGGCTCTCCCTATGAAATCACCCCTCTTTCTTGTTACACCAACACTTTTCCTTCATGCTCGTGCAATTCACCACGTTATTCACATTACATTGTACTTGTACCTCAAAGTTATTCTTGCCATGCGTCTCATTTTTTGTCTTTTTCATACTCTCTGTAATATTTTGCATTAGTTTGAGTTGAACGCGTAGAAACAGATTTGTTCTCCTGTAATGTGAAGCAAATACTAATTGTCGAAATTTGATTATTCGGAGGTCTGAAATACAATTGAAAAAAATTATAATGATTTAGAACTACTCTCTGCTGTTCATAAATTACTCAAGTATCCAAAACTATTCACTGACAAGATTCAACTTAATAGATGACAAAGGTATTTTAATAAATACATATATATATTATGAATATTCGTCTTTAATAATTAAACTCCGACCCAATATAAAATAAAAAGAAATCCAAAACATTTCATTTAAAGATATAGAAAGGAAGCATATGCATACATGTATGTATGTATGTATGTATGTATGTACAGATGCACATATAATTTCTTACAATACACTGCAAATGTACATCACTTGACTTTTACCTTTATAATTTTACACTGCCATGTAGGATTACCCATATTGAAAAAGAGGAGTTATTGACATTCAAACATTCCTCCATATCATTAAACATATAATTTCAACAATCACTGTTGATAAAAATCAAGTTTAGGATATTCAATTCACAAGGTTAAATTGAATAGAACAACCAAATGTTAACAATAAAAGAGATTTTATAAAAATTTATTTGACTACAAATAAATTTCTTATGGATTTATTGTGTGACAAACACATTTATATTAGTCTTAATATAACATGAGGTTAGTCAAACATGTATTAAAACGCTTTCTGAATTATACAAATGACTAATATTAATCTGTCACCCATCAAAACTTCTAACCATAAAATAATAATCTCTACAAAAGAATAATTTTAGAGCATAACATGATATTGTAGTAAGCAATTTATTTATTTTTATTTTAAAAGTATATCTTACTTAATGTAATACTGAATATTAACAACACCATATATAGCTTGCACACACACAACTATGATTGCATTTAAAGGAATAAATACTTGTTGTACACTAATATAAAGTGGGATACAATTATATGTAAGTAAAAATACATAATAACTAAAAAAATACATGCAAAAATGATGTGCCTAAGAAAATTTTAATATTGGAATATTTACACAGACACAATCTTACTAATAGCAAAGACATTCACATAGTTCAATATTTTGTAAATAGCAATTTTAGAAACAAGTGATAATATTTTATTAAACTGAGTTACAATAATTTATTGAATTATATTATGAGTTATGTTTCCATTAAGAAAATAAATAATGGGGGAATATTCTGCAATATGATATTTAACAACATGTAGTATCAATTTACAGTTGCTTAATCAACTTATTACATGCTGTTAGTAAACAGTACTTTTGAAATTCACAAAAGATCACTCAATGAATGTACAAAACGAAATATTTTGACGTATAGATAGACAAAGATGGGCATATATATATATATATATATATATATTAAAAGCCATATGTTTATGTACATGTAACATATTTCATTGAACTAATTTTTGGGTCTTTCTCCATGAAGAAAAGTATTTTTTATTTACAAAATGAGATTTCTTTGTAGATGCACATTTAAAGTTGGTGAGAATTTATCATGACCACTACTTTGATATAATTATTATCTTCTGCAAAAAAACGTATTAAATCAGATAAACACATTAAATGATAAACCCCAGAAGTGTTTTTTTATATGAAATTTGATCTTCAAAAAATAATGTTTACATCCAAAATGAGAAAAACATATAATTTGTTCGTATTCATTATGACATTTAATTCAGGATTGATTATAATTTAAGCAAAAGTAAGCAACTATTTTAAAAAGGTTTCCTGAATCAACATATAGATTGAATCATATAAAATATCATGTGTTGTATGAATCTCCCCATAAACTTTTGTTAAAACACTGAGTTAGAGTCCAAATCAAACACATATACATGTTACAAAATCTGATGGTGCTTTATAATACTATACTCTAGTTTCATTCAAATCCATGTAAAAAATGACAAAATAAAAAACAATAAAATTTAAAATCATGAAGACCTACTCATAAAATAAAACTAACACTGCCTCTTTCAGTTTATAGATAACATTACATCAAACCTAAACATTAAGACTCAAGTATTACAACAATAATATGTCTTAATTGGCACCAATATTATTATCTAATCACCTTTACATACGTTATGAATCCTCCCATAACATAAGAAAAAAAAAAAAAAAAAAAAAAAAAAAAAATGTTAGAGCCACACCTCAATTTTGTTAGCCACACCCCCTTCCCATATCCTCATCTATTTCGTACATGTCCCTAATCCTGACCCCACCCCGAGTAAGTGATATATATATATATATATATATATATATATCTATCTACATATCACTTACTTTGAAAATATATATTATAAACAATATTTGAATTGTTATGACTTACTTTCAATATAAATATAAGATTAAACTTTATATTATCACAATATTTTATGTCACACTATAATTGATAAGAGGTATTCATATCAAATGCATCATACACATTACATTTGAAACATGTATTCTTTTATAAACTCAAATACACTTTTTCTGTTACAATATTTTTCATTCTATTATAGCAGTTGAAAAAGATTCTTTTTGTTAATAACTAAAGTTTTCAAGAACTGCAAAGAAACATTATGTCCCCACCATTGACCATTACATACTAAGACATACTTTCACTTAAATTAATGTATTTGTGGTATCATTGATCTAGTACTCATTTAAAAACTACATTTATGATTTATTCTTAAATTAAAACAACTATAAATAAATAAAATTTAAAAAAACATATCATAAATCAAATCATTTCTTGTAAATCAAATCATTTCTTTTGTACTGCAATTGCATACAAAAATTTAAAAACCATTAAATAATTAACCACTTAAAAAAACCTTAATTTATTAGATTATAAAAACAGTATTTGATTCAATGATAAAATCATAATAAAAATATTTTACTATTCAATATATATATATATATATATATATATATATATGTATATATATATATTTAACATAATACAATACTTAACAAACAAAACAAAAATCCTAACCTATATATATATATATATACACATACATCTAATTGTAGTAAAGTGAAAATTGCCATGGGTGGCACACCGGAAAGCGCCAGTACCATGGATGCAGAACAAATCACCTTGGAGTTGTAACAAGGTGCACAATGAGGGTAGGAATGGTTATTGGGAATGAAGTTCAAATAGGGCACTGGAAAATACTGCTAGGGATGGGATTAAGGACAAGGGCATGTACAAAGCATCAAGAGGTGGGAAGGGGTTGTATATTAAAAAAAATTGCTATGTGGCTTTCACAACTCCATAAACAACTTGAGACATAAAGGAGTAAATTGATACTATTTCTAAACACAAATAATCAGAGGTGATACTAAATTATCCACTAAAGTAATCCAGCTAAACAATAAGACATGCACAGACCTGCTATTATAAGAACCCTCATTAAATAACTCTGTAAATCACATAGAAATGCAAAACAAAAAAAAACATGACACAATTGGAGAAAAGTCAGTCGGTCAAACTTCTGTGATAGTCCAGCAACCCTACACTCCACAGGACAGAGGCCAAGGAGAAGAATGCTGTGAATGAAGTGAGCCTTCCTGGTGACACAACCCTAATAGCTAATCAGACTCTTTTTTTGGGACAGTGCACCCCCTCAAGGCCAACCTGCATAGCTAAGTTACCTCTTGATCATAGACTTCCAATAATATTCCACTCCAATGTTCCAGCTTCCCTGACTCAACCCCCATAGCTACTTCTACAATTTGTGCAACATGCAAAGCTTGTGCTAAGGCCGTGTGAAACAGTGATGGTGCAGAGCAGTCTTTGTGGTTGAGAATGTGTTGATCTCTTGGCATGTTGACAATGTTTGTGGAGAGGGGGGGGGGGGGAGGCATTGGTTGAGGGGAGAGAGTAAATTATAGAAAGGCAGTGGATGGGGGGGGGGGATATGGGGATGGGAATGAGGGGGGACAGGGGCAAATAAAGACAGGGGTTGAATATACCAGACAGCAGCACAGCATGGATGCTGCTTGCTGATAAGGATGACAACAACACCATCATCCCCTCTCACCAGGCTCAAATCATTCCCCTATTCCCTTCTATAATAACTGATAGAGTATAATATCAAGAGAGCCCGGGGCGAAGAAAGGAACAGCAGCAGAGTAGTAGTAACCAGTCTCAGTCTCAGGCACACCCTGGCGCACAACGACAAACTGAGTTCCCCCTCCCTGCTTGCCCCCATTGGTGTACCGATCACAATCGTCTTGTGTAGCGTTGCTCGTAGCCTGCTGTGGTTTTCCTTTAGGTTTGTCGATACGAGGCTGGCCCTGCGTAACTTCTAGTCTTGTCTTGTCTTGTCTCGTCTCGTCTTCTCCGCTTTCGCATTCGCATTCGCAGCCCGACTCCAGCCACCGCCCAGGCCCCGAGGGTCGTGTAGTTTAGGCTAGGCTACGCTACGCCAGGCTAGGGTGCGTGCCCTGCCTGGTAGCTGTGACGACGACACCCCCATTACGGGTGACTCCGAACACACCACCGAAGCATCTTGTCTACTCCACTCCCGTCCTCTTCCTCTCCTCTAGGGTTCTCTTAAACCCTCGCCTTCCCTTCCCCCGGTCACTGCCCAACTGTCTCTGTGCGTCTCTCCCCCGCTCTCGTTCTCGCCGTCTCATCTTCCTGCTCTTCACCCCCCCCCCCTCATCGCAGCCCCAGCACCATGGCTGCGGCGCTGAGCTCGTCCTGCTCGCCCGCGTCCCGCTTGTGTGGCTGTGTGTCGGTGGGGTCCAGCCCTGGGTC